CCCAAAGAAACTGCTTGTATCAACAGAAAAGAAAATAAATGTTTGATCAAGGTGCTTAGCTGTTAAACAGTGACTACTTTAAGTAAAGAAACTTAGACAACTTTTGTCGTTTTGTATACATAGAGTACATACAGCATAGGGCTGGGCGATATAGAAAAAAAGCTTATCGATAAAAAAAAAAATGCATATTGATCGATATCGATAATTATTGAAAAGATTTGAAACCATATTTTATGTGCAGCTCTGCCTGGACTTTTTATGATATTGCTAAATGATTTAATTTTAATAAAGAACACAAACACAGACTTCCAATTAAATATTTATTTAACCAACTTTTTTAACCATAACAGAATTGTTTTAAAGAAAAATAACTTAAGAGACCTGAGTTATGTTATTAAATACTGACAAAGAATAAAATAAAGTGACCAGAAAAGTGACCAAAATAAATATAACAAATAAATAAATAGAATACCCTATTTGGGTGGGAATAGTACACCACCAGCTTGTGGTAATTAAAAGATTGTGAGATTAGGCTACCATGTAAACTCCACTCAACAAAAACAAAAACCCAAATCAACTCACCCTTTAGCCTAGCATTTCTATGGGGTATTATTTCTCACCCCTATTCTTCTAGAGGTGCTGCTGGCATCTCGTTATGGTTCAGCTTAGTTTCCTGCTTTAACCTGAGTTATTACTTTGAAGTTGCTGGCCCCTCAGCATTTTTCTCTCAATTGTTAAAACTACATGCCCCGAACTGAATATATATATATATATATATATATATATATATATATATATATATATATATATATATATTTATATATATATATATATATATATATATATATATATATTTTTTTTTTTATCTATTTATTTTTTTCCCCCGAAATTCCCGAAGAGCCGCGCCGAGGCCTACACAGCTCGTACTCCTGCGGGTGTGAGCGGCTGAGATGATAAAAAAATAAAAAAAGTTGGTTGTGTTATCAGACTTGGTTTTCACTGGTTCCCTACACATTTTACAGATGACTGTGGTTTGTTTTTTGCCCGACTTGCCATGACCGAAATACTGCCAAACTGGCGAACTACAAAAACCCTTCTTTGAAACAATTTCCTCCGCCTCTCCTTGCTGCGACATCTTCATGTGCTCTGTGTTGTGGTTTGAGAGGGCGGCGCTTTGTGACGGCGTGCCTGGGTCCGCGATTGCGATTGGTTGGGAGGAAGTAGTGACTAGCATAAACCTACATGATAGGCTACAATGAGAAGGAAGGAAAACTGCGTTTCTTATCGAACTTTTATCGACTCTGTTTTTTTCTATTGCGCCACACATCTATCGATCGATATATATCGCTATTGAATTATCGCCCAGCCCTAATATAGCACTAAATTTTGTTTAGTACAGCTTTTCAGACAGTAAATGAACATTTCCATTCCATAAAGTGCAGCAGTGGTCAAATGTAAACAGTGTGGGAGAAAAAACAAGAAGAAAAAAAATGCATTCATATGGAAGTTCAGAGCAGCTCTTGTACTTGTTTTTTTTTTTTTTTTTTTGTTTGTGCTTTTTTAATTGAAGAATGTAAAAAATCAAATATCAATCAATAATAATCACAAATCAATATTTAAAGTGCTTCATGTCAGGGTTGGGTTGAGGTTTTGAGGACCTAATGGCAGAGGTGAGGAGGCAGAGGTGAGTTCTTGAAGATTTAATGAAATTGCTGCGCCAAAAATCCAAAAACCAAAGTATAAAATACAAGCAACCAAAAACCAGGCTACTTCAGGGAAAAACTCATGTGGGGAGGCAGGAAAAGATGAGGCACAAGCACTGAAGAACAGAAAATATAACAGAACCAAGACCATGACACTTGAACAATTGCATCTTTTTGCAGTATTGCCTTCAGTATTTGACAAAGCAAACTATACTAAACTGTTTCCAACTAAATCATATTTTACTTCCAAAAACGAACTGGACATTGGAATCATTCCATTATCTCTATTCTTATCTCAAAACAGCTTGTCTGCAGGAAGTAGTGCTATTAATTATTATTATTTATTTTTGAGCGAAAGAAACTGGAAAAAGAGCAAAATATGGATAATCTTCTGTTCATCACTATAAATGCTTCAGAGTGAAGCTGAGGTCAGATTGAACCTGTCAGTCCCTTAAGACTTCCTGTGATTAGAGGGACAAGGTCAGGCTGCAAAAACACCCTCAGCCTGATTCAAAGACTTTCAGTTAATCTTAATTTAATTGTGCCGCGTTTAATTGTGTTTGTCAAATTAAGGCTGCTGAGCGACATCGATTGAAGTGGCATGCAAAACTGTAAACCTAATTTAGATAAGGTATAAATGAGATGTTTTCCAGAAAAGATAGAGAACAATTACTGTGGCACGTCTGCCTCCATGTTGTTCCTAGCAAGCTCTATTTATATGAACTTTCTTGGTAAACTAGACACATGCACTTATGCATTTTGTTCCTTTTTTCTTCTGGATTTGCAGATTATTTAGTCTCTGCGGTTTTGCTAAAACAACATACTATGTGGGATTGTTCCAAGCCATTAGCAGGACTGTACAACACCTGCTCATGTGGATGCTGGGGAATAAACATATCATTGGCCGAAGCTAACGACATTTTTTAATGGCATCACAGCAGTCAGACCTCAAAAAGAAACCAAATCCTGTATTAATATTGTTTAGGGTTGAGCAAACAATGTCATGCATACTTGATCACAATTAAAATAGTTAAAAAAAATACTTCAAAAGAGTGTTTTTAGCAAACATATCATTGCTTTTATACCAATTAAGTATAAAAAGCAGTAAACAATAAAAATCTAAAGTTTTGAAAAGTGATAACTTACTTTTCTTATGTTTCAGTGTTGCGATGTGAAATGCGTTACCCACTGACCATTCCGAACCTTATCCAAGCATTTTAAAATTACAATTTATAAAATGTTAGAAATTCTCATCCATTGAATTATTTAGATTTGGTTAACTATAAATTTGTACAGATAAAGCAAAATAAAGTTTTCTGCCAAAAACAGTCTAAAAATTTTTATAGAAGGAAATGATGGGTACACTCTAAGGGGAGATATGAATTAGAAAAAAAAATAAAATAGGAGAACATGCCTCTATATGTATATATATATAGGTGTTTATGGGGGCTTATGCACCCATGCATATTACATTTATTCTGTTGCATTTACTTGAGTAACAATAAAAAAAAAAATACTCAATTTGTTTTTAGGTTTTTATTCTTAATACAATAAAATGTAAGTGAGAAAATGTACTAACCGACCCTAAAATCTTTAAATATTTTCATAGAAACAAGAAAAGTAAAAACAACAGTTAATGCAAGAAGAACAAGCAAAGCAGCTTTGAATAAACAAATATTAACCAATATTTATTAGTACATTTTTACCATCTTATTACTGCACTGATACAGATGCTGATAAAATTAAATGTGCAGAGACTATGTCATTTTGCCAGATTATTTTAAAAATGTTCTAATTAGAAAACTACGGAAGCCCATTTCCAACACTTTGGAGAAAAAAAAAACATGGCTATCATTATATGTTGACTGATCTGATTTAATACCAATGAGATAGCTGTTTTTTTCGTCAGAGTGATGGAAATAGGCTTTAATATAAAACAACCTTAAAACCAGCTGAAAACAGAAAGTTAATTTACTTAAACTTAGTTTCTGCTTGCCTTTGAAATGAAGGATAAAAATTCTCCAGATATTTTTAATTGTACTCAAATTGTTTTAAAATATGTCAATTTAACAACTTTCAGCAAATAAATTTGTATAAATTTTCGCTTTGGTAAATAGGAGGCTGAAATTGTGAAAATCAAAGACGTACAGTATTTTATTCAACTTATTAAATGGATTTTTCTTTAGAAATATTCAGGGACAAGCAGACATCTGTTTCCTGCTGTTTGGGAGGAATTTCTCAGAAATAGTCAAATAAACTGGTTTGATTTAAAAACTGTACAACTTTGTTTCTTTGTCTTTTGTATATTCTCAGAAAAGAAAAAATAGAATCTGCAAGAGCAAAGAACTTCGTGAATGAATGTTTTAATGAAGCTGGTGTGAATTGTATAGTTCCCAGCTCACACTCCAAACTAACATTGTTACTCCCCAACCCACTTTAGTGTAATGTGAAAATGATGCTCTCTCTCTCTGTGACTCATTACGGTGCTTTGTAATCACAGCAGAAACCGTTCCCCTCTGAAGATTTCTCCTGCGAATCTGAAAGAGCAACACCTCGTTACGTCCTTAGAAAGTCTGTTTCCCTCTGAAGGAGCACAAACAGCACGCTTTAACAATAAAAGGAATCATCTTAGCATTTCGCTTAACAATGTGAGTCAGGTTGGAGTTTTTCCACAGCTGTGGGCGGGAGCTACTGTCCCCACTGAGAAGGCATGGCACGCCTCACCCCCTCAGAAGGGAAGCCTGATTGCAGGCCTGTAGATGTTGTATTTGAAGGCAGGTTTGGTAGTTACCGATGATGGATTCATGTGGAGTTTCCAGGGACTGGGCTGGCTAACAGGCTCATACCCACTGTTAAATTATTAAATGCCTGAAGGTTCTGGAACATCCACATGTTTTTGCACTCGTCATATTTTATTTCATAAGAGTCATCAGGAGAGAATTAATTATTTACAGTGTCAGGTCCCCAGAGCTGTTTGAATGGTTCATTTTAGTTGGAGCTGTGGATGATTGGTTAACCCTCTCTTGTTTCAGTCCACAGATTTTTCTCCCCCCAGAGAGGCTGCGAATACACAACCAAACTAACATTTATCCTGTTTTGTTCTCCACCTTTGGGCGTGATATTCCATTCTTTTTCATCCGTACAAAAGAAGCTTTTCATCGTTTGGACATGAATGGAGCAACTTCACAGAAACTAACATCAGTTTATTTTTACAAACAGCTTCCTGTAATGTTTTGACAGTTTTCATTTTTTATTTTTACTGCTTCTCAGTATTTGTTCTCTGTTTGTTCTATGCAGATCTACTGACTATGGATCAACATATGAGAGAATGAACGACAAAATCGGCTTCAAAGCTGTCCTCAGTTACCTGTATGTGTGCCCATCCAATAAGAAGAAGGTAAGTTTGGTTCTAATCAGGTGTTAATTTACTTTATTGAAATAAAAAGTATTGGCTTCAGTGTATCAAATTCATACAAAAGATAAATAAGATGAGACTGTATCGTTTATATCAAGAGGATCTACTCTGACTTAGTGGTGGGACAAAATAATCAAATTATTTACAGGCTTTGTAATTAATAAATTTTAATTAATAGTATTTGAATTGAAAACAACATATCGAAAAAATAAAAAACCTTTTCAATTCAAAAACCCTTTTTATGTATTCAATTTATTGAGTAAATATACATGTGAGCAAAACCACCAAAATATTTATTATTTTAAACCATTATTTATGTTGTTTAACCATCAGATTGGTCGTAAGTTGAAGTTATTTTTTTCTAAAATTCTATAAAACTTATATAGAAAAACAAGTAAACAAGTGTGAACAGTAAATAAATGTTCATTATAGCAATATACCTTTCACTGAATATGGTAAAAACAGCATACATCGACGGAATTGATGCTACCCCTCGTTTAATTGAAGAAAACCCACAATCGTCATAATGATAGCTTGAATCTGACAAAAAGGATAATAAATAAAAATTCCATCAAAATGAACAAATACCATACCATACCATACCATACCATACCAGCTTTATTTATAAAGCACTTTAAAACAACCACAGTTGATACAAAGTGCTGTACAGTTTAAGAACACAACATAATAAAAATAATTTAAAAACAGTTTAAAAGCAAAAAAAAACATACAATTTAAAACTAGATCCCACTGGTGTTGAAAGCCAAGTAAAATAGATGGGTTTTAAGACGAGCTTTAAAAATGGGCAAAGAAGGGGCCTCTCTGACCTGCAAAGGTAAGTTATTCCATAATTTGGGGCCCATAACAAAGAAAGCCCTGTCCCCTCTGAGCTTCCTTTTTGTTCTCGGTTCCTCCAAGAGCAGCTGATTTGCTGACCTGAGAGACCGATGTGGTACGTAGGGATGAAGAAGCTCGGAGAGGTAAGCTGGGGCAAGATTATGCACTGATTTAAAAACAAACATAAGAATTTTAAAATGAATCCTAAAATATACAGGCAGCCAGTGAAGTGAGGCCAGGACAGGGGTCACATGCTCTCTCTTTCGAGTACCTGTCAAAAGTCGTGCAGCAGCATTTTGTACTAGCTGCAGACGTGAGAGCAGCGACTGACTGACACCCAGATAAAGTGCATTACAGTAGTCCAATCGAGTTGAAACAAAAGCGTGGATCAGTGTTTCAAAATGCTGCCTGGAAAGAAAAGATTTCACTGACGCCAATCGCCTTAAATGATAAAAGCTGGACTTAACCACGGCTCTAATTTGGCTGTCCAATTTAAAATCACTGTCCACCTTAAAACCAAGATCAGTAATAACAGGTTTAAAATATACCTGCAAAGGTCCCAGGTCAACAGAGGAGGACTCACAAGAGCCACTGGGTCCAAACACCATCACGTCTGTTTTGTTTTCATTAAAGTTTAAAAAGTTCAAGGCCAACCAAGCTTTAATATCCCCTAGACATGCCAGGAGATGTTTGATTGAATGTACATCCTGCTGCTGTATGGGCAAATAAATCTGACAATCATCAGCGTAACAATGAAAAGAAATCCCATGTTTCCTAAGGATAGAACCCAGAGGCAGTATATAAAGGGAGAAAAGCAGTGGGCCAAGAATTGAGCCCTGTGGGACACCATTAGACATTGAAGCAACAGATGATTTAAAGCCACTAATATTCACTGAAAAAGTTCTCTCCTCCAGGTAAGACCTGAACCATTTAAGAACAGTGCCATCAATACCAGCAATGTGGTGTAATCGCGATATTAAAATATTGTGGTCTACTGTATCAAAGGCAGCAGTTAGGTCAAGTAACATCAGAACAACATGGTGACCAGAATCACATGCAAGAAGAATGTCATTAAAAACTCTTATTAAAATACAGTTCAGACATTCAAACTATTTAATCATGCCTCAAAAGAACAGCTAAAAAATAAACCCATGAAACAAGCCTGGACAAAATTAATGGTACCCTTCAAAAAAAATGAAAAAATTGTGACCAAAGGGACACGTTGTTATAGGTGTGTCCACTAATTAGCGTGTTGGGTGTCTACAATCTTGTAATCAGTCAGTGGGGATAAATATATATAGGCCTAGTGCTGTTTGGTGACATGGTGTGTACCACACTCAACATGGACCAGAGGAAGCAAGGGAAAAAGATGTCTCACAAGATTAGAAAGAAAATAATAGACAAGCATCCATCCATCCATCCATCCATCCATCCATCCATCCATCCATCCATCCATCCATCCATCCATCTTCTTCCGCTTATCCGTGGTCAGGTCACGGGTGTAGCAGCTTCCGTAGGGAGTCCCAGACGTCCCTCTCCTCAGCAACTTGGGCCAGCTCCTCTGGGGAATCCCAAGGCGCTCCCAGGCCAGCCGAGAAACATAGTTTCTCCAGTGTGTCCTGGGTCTCCACCTGGGCATCCTCCCAGTGGGTCGTGCCTGGAACACCTCACCAGGGAGACGTCCAGGAGGCATCCTAATCAGATGCCCCAGCCACCTCAAGTGGCTCCTCTCGATGTGGAGGAGCAGCGGCTCTACTTTAAGTCCTCCCCAGATGACTGAGCTCCTCACCTTATCTCTAAGGGAGAGCCCAGACACACTACGGAGCAAACTCATTTCAGCTGCTTGTATCTGGGATCTCGTACTTTCGGTCATAACCTAAGGCTCATGACCATAGATGAGGGTAGGAACGTAAACGACCGGTAAAATGAGAGCTTTGCCTTTTGGCTCAGCTCTCTCTTCACCACAATAGACCGGTACAGTACACGCTTCACAGCAGGCACCGCACCAATCCGCCTGTCGATCTCCCGCTCCATCTTCCCCTCATTCGTGAAAAAGACCCCAAGATACTTAAACTCCTTCACTAGGGGCAGTACATCCTCCCCAACCCAGAGTAGGCCCTCTACCCTTTTCCGGCTCAAGACTGTGGTAGGAATGGATGTTAAAGTTAAAGGCTATAGGACCATCTCCAAGCTGCTTGATGTTGCTCTGACTGCAGTTACACAGAAATTTAAGATCAAGGGGACTGTAGCTTTCCTGGACATGGCCACAGGAGAGAAACTAATGATTAATCGAAGAATTGATTATATAAAGAGCCCAGAAAAGCTCCTAAAGAATTTAAAGGTGAACTTTAAGCTCAAGGAACATCCGTCATTGTTTGAGCAAAAGTGGATTTAATTGAAAACAATCGGGGAGGACACCTGTGCAGGGTCCAATGAAATCTGAAGACTATCAGGGGATTCTAGAGAGAAATGTGCTGCTCAGTGTCAGAAAGCTTCGCCTCAGTCGCAGATCATGGGTCTTTAAAAGGACCCAAAGCACACGGCTAGAAACAGCTGAGATTGGCTTGGAGGAAAACATTGGAATATGAAGCGGCCTTTTATGAGCCCCCACATCATTCCTACATACATTTCCTATTTAATAGACCAAACATATCTATAACATATCAAACTCTATATCGCAACCTAGAAATCTAGAAAAAGTAGACTATATTGTAATATTTTCCATGTGAATCCCAGATTGTTCATTCTTCTTTGCCTTTTCTAAAAAGTGCTTTAAATCAGTCCTATCTGTCGGACAGGTGTTTTAAGTCTGTCTGTCCAGAGTGTGTCCACGTCAAATCACACCGGTCATTTCTAAGAAGAATGCAAGGAAAACAACAAAGTGCATTAGCTGCCCCACAGGCTGTCAGCCACGACTTATGCTGGAATCAACTCTTGATAAAAGTCCGGTTGCGGGATTTAGCTTTTTCTACAGTTCACTGTGTTAAATTTATTTGGGGCTTCCACCATTATCCTTCTCGCGAAAGGGTGACTCAGTAAAGATTAACCCATGTATGGAGGCTTTTGTCCTGATCGAGCCGGGTTTGAATCTGACCTGTGGTTCTTTGACCTGTGGTTCTTTGACCTCCCCCCCCCCCCTACTCCATTTCCTGATACTGTCGAAAAAAGGAATAAAACACTGACATTTCGCTTCACGCAACTGTTTATGGTGAGATTACTACCAAAACAGATGTTTGCATGTCGAACAGGTTATATTGTATTAAAATAACAATAACAGCTTTTGAAACAACTGATAAGGGTTATTTTATTCATATTGAACAGTTGTTTATGCTAATTAATATTTTCACAGATACACACAGCAGTAAAAAGCAGTGCTGCCTTGAAGGAAGGAAGGAAGGAAGGAAGGAAGGAAGGAAGGAAGGAAGGAAGGAAGGAAGGAAGGAAGGAAGGAAGGAAGGAAGGAAGGAAGGAAGGAAGGAAGGAAGGAAGGAAGGAAGGAAGGAAGGAAGGAATGTATGTCAGACAATTAATAAACATAATATCAGATAAATCAATTTCAGAAAGTATTTCAAACAAATAACCAAGTAAAATACAAAAAGGGGATTGGTTAAAGGTTCAACATTAAATAAAATTTTCTGTTCCAACTAAAACTAATTTATTTGAACATAATTGAAACTAATAAAAAAAAAAAATGTTACACTTGATAAACTTGTCAGTAAAGATGCACAATATAATCGGCCCCCTATTGGTATCGGCCTTAAAACTGAATATCGGACATCGGCCACCCCACCGATATTTAACCCGCTATTTGATCAGCTTCTGAGTTTCTAAAGTCTAAAAAAAAAAAAAAAATACTACTTCTTCTTCTTCCTCAAAAACTTCTTTTTTACAGACTTAGAAACTTCTAAAGACGAGGGAAAAAATATTGATTCATTAAAATATCACAATATCTTCATATGCTGATATATTGCCATTTAAAAACACCATATCAATCTCTTTTACTAATGAAATATTGCTATATGTCATCGTTATGCTACGAAATCCCCAGAAAATTTATATGTTGATATTTTGACGCTGTATCGATCTATTTTACTAACAAAATCTCACAAGAGTTTGCAAAATATCACGAGAGTTTGTAACAGAAC